AGGCTACACATGTAGATGGTTTATCAGATTCCAACTTGGTAGAGTCTAGTTGAGCTTTTTCATGGGGTTATAGCTGTTAGAAGTTGGGGGGTCTAGAAAAGTGGCCCGCGAAGTGATGTGGCCCACGAAGTGATAATCCACGTTAGTGTGTGGATATTGCAAACTAGTACCTGATCAAGGGATCTGTGATTTTTTTGTAAACAAGCAATAAGAAATTCCAACATCGATTGACTGGATAATGCCCAATGGGAAGAGTTAGTCTGTATCACCTAAAGCCTACATTGTTGCTCTTTATATATCCACAGGAATGAAATCTGACCAGTTCTCAGACTGCTTGCAGGTGAGTAAGGAAACAGCTAGGCAGAGCCTAAAGTGAATTGAGACTTGTTTGTTAGATGCCCACCTGCTGTATTCTTGAGTTATGATAGTAGATCATTGACTAGTAGAATGAAATATTATTATCAGAGATGTGGGAGTAGTATGAAACACTTTCTCAAATAGTTAGGCATCTTAGTAAGTTCTCTACTATGCATGTGTATATGATAGAGCCAAACACATCCTACCTTAGAAGCTGTGGTTTGAGAGGTAATAGCTTATAAACTGCAGTTCATAAGGTATTACAAACCACGGTTGCCAAACACCCCCTAAGTGTCTCGTTGGAGACCCCATGTTTTAATCCTCTCTGGCCACCTTCAGGGCAGCGAGAGTGAATTTTCAAAATTATGGGCCCTTTGGCACTCATGTCGTGCTGCCAAGAGAACAGGCAAGACGAGGCGGCAGAGCGGGACCCCCACCACAGTGACGCCCTGGGCGGGGCAAGCCACACGGCCTGCCCCGGCGCGAGGGAGGGGCCCCCGGGTCCTATATGGGAAACCCTGGCAGTTTGGATAGCTACAGGGACTACAGATTGTGGTGGAGAGCTGCGGAGAAAATTTAAACAGTATAAGTTAGATGGATGGATAACGGGAAGAACCAGAGACTCGGGGAAGTAGGGGGGTGAGAGGAGCATAGGCAGCGGTGGGGGAACCTATGTAAGTGCTATGTTAGAAAACAGGGCTTAACGAAAGACTAGCGGGTTATGCAAGCGCCATAGGGGGTCCAAGTATAAGTTAAAGACCCACTCTAGAAACCGGGCAGTCCGGCCTAGCTTCCAAGCAAGGCGGAACGGACGGTTCGGAAAACTGCACTACTCACAGAAGGCAAGTATCACCTAGCAATTGAGATAGCCGAGTTATAGAAATTTTTCAGGTAGTTCGTCAATTTCATTGTCCTGTATCCGGAGGTTGCGCAAGGGCGGGTATCTATTTAACACGAGCACCATCCACCATACATCACTTGGTGACTAAGCTACACATCACCACACAGTCCCGCAATCACCACCCCAGAGAGAAGAAAAATGCAGAACGTAAGGTACAAACGGCAAATCGACTGCTACGGAGAATCGACTGAATGAGAGGGTTGATAATCGCGGTCTAAGATATTCATACGCCCCTCACGGTCGATTAGAGCCCGACGACATCTGTCAGCTGCCAGCTCCCTGATATAACGCCCGAGATTATTAAGAAAGTTGCCCCATTTGCAGAGAATTGGTTGATCGTCTTCAGGAGGAATATCAATGAAGTCGCTCATCCAAAAGTCAATAGCCGTGGAATCAGCCATCGATAGGAGGTTCTACATATGTCAGCTTAAATGACTTCAGCTACTTTAACAAGCAACTTACCAATGGACCTCTAGTTCGTGAGGCTAACCCAGACACTCGATCTCTTTTCCAAATCTCGATAAAGCCCGAGACGCTCCCTACCCAAGTGAACCCCTTGTAAACTGCGGGGCCATATGAGCCATGGAGCGCGAAGGTTGACAAGTTAAGTTCCTGCGGGCGGAGAAACCCCTGTTGAGCAAATTCCTGATCACTGAGTAATTGGGTTGGGCACTGGTAGCCTGGATCCTCAACCAGCTTCACGAGCATAACTGCGGAAACTGTCTCGGTACCGTCCAGCCACAAACTGGCATCGCGAACTAGCTTCTCATAAGTCTCTGCGAGACCAACCTCCAAGATAAACCTCAGCGCCAGATTCCCAGAAGAATCTTCAATTTTCAACGCAGTGTCTGGTGTTTTCTCCGACCCATGGTACGCGCCGTGAAAATTGGTAAAATTTTGGTTTCCCACGATGTCAATCCTCTGCTGAAGGTAGGTGGGGAGATGGCTACGAGCCAGAGTCAGACCTTCTGAAATGGTCGACACCACCTGTTCATGGATAACGCTTGGCATGCATTGAATGGTGAGCACTGAGGTGAACGAGTCATATGAATATTTCGGAAACCTAGCGCTATTCAATTAGAAACTTACGATGGAAAGGGGAAAGTGGCTTACGTTTCATGATCATCATCTATATGCAAGGCCTTTTTGAAGCTGAGAAAACCCAGTAATGATATTTCGATATCCAACCCCCCCTCCCTACCGCCCCGAGAAGCCAAATTTCCTTTTTCCGAACGCCAGTCCTGGAACCTTTTTACACAATCCCGTGTGTACTGCGGCTGGGGATCACCAGCCGGTGGGACCTGCTCCGGGAAAACTGAAGACTTGCCCTCCTCATCGGGGATATCGAAGCGGCGAAGATGTCCACGGCTGATCCCGGGGGAAATCGAGGGGGGTAGAGCGGACCTTCGGGTGGGCCTTGGTGTATCGGACACGGCAGCGGGGGAAATATTCGGGGGACCGAAGTGGTGCTGAGGCTCATGTTGGCCCCTCCGCGCATCAGGTTGATACTCCATGTTTAAGAAGTCCTCCTACATGAACTGCATGAGTAGGAAGATAATAAGGAGATGTATTTACTCACGCAATAAGTGTGAATAGGAGGTGCAGAAAGGGGGTACGGGATATGGAAGTCGAAGTAATCAGGGATGACGAAGAAGAGAAAATAGTGTGCAACAAATTGCACAGATCGAGAAAAGGAAGGTAGGGAGAAACAAACTTAGTTTTAAATATCAGTGGCAGTGATCAGAACTATGGTATCCAAAGACAAACAAGGTTTGTTTGTTTCAGTGGTTGGAGGTTGTTAGCGAGGCGAGGGAGGGACGTTGACATGCGGAATTTTTATAGGCTAAACCGGTGGAGGGCTCAGCGAGGCGGCACCCTCAGCGAGGCTTGGCGATATTTGGCAGCAAAAATTGCCTACGGTCAACGACAGTAGGGAGCCAAGCCGTGCCGCGCCTCGCTGAGGGTATCGCCTCGCTGAGCCCTCGCACGGTCTAACTTCAGCCCTGAACGAGAGTTTCCTCCACCCCTCCAGTCCCATTCCCAATTAAGGGAAGCAGATAAACTCAGAAATCTACGGTCGCCCATCGGTCCCGGAGCCCGCGATCGGAGGTAAAACAGCTCTGAAAGGAATTGCGTTTTCGAGCACCAGTATAACTTAATGGAGGACAGCGCGCCGAATTGGATTCACTCAAATTAGCGATTTTGTTGTCTTACTCCACTAGCTCATGGTGCTTAGACGGTGATTTCTGTTAAAAATCAGCCGTGGTGGATTTAGGTAAATACCGTGATGATATGGTACGAGTGCGGCCGATAGATATATTCGTCATATGCATTATCTCTGGACACCACAACCAGAAGGCCAACCGAATTTTTATCTTATCAGACCCACGTGACTAATATATCTATCGGCCGCACTCGTATTATACCCTGCAACTCTAGTTATTCTAAGTTAGTATAATCTACACAAAGGAGAGTCAAGGCACTGTATCTGGTCAATGCTGTTTCATGCCAAGAAATGTAGTGTACCTCGTCCATTCCCCTCATACTGGGTATCACAAAATTAAATATTGAGAAAATACTGGCATTTGGGCTCTGATAACTATTTTTCTTATTCTTCTAATACCTATCATTGAGAGTGGCAGCTGCGGTGATGCCCTGATACTTTTTAGGATGACTTTTCATTATGTGGTTGTGTAAAACATGGGCGCATCTGGTCATCGAGGCTTTTTCAAGCCTTCATGATCTTATAATGGAGGCAGCAACAAGAAACTATGATAACCTCAAGTTGATGGTTTGTCAGGTAAAATGCCACAATTGCATGTCTGGTCACCTCCACCCCACTAACCAACAACAATACAGCCTAGAATTAGGATTTAGAAGAGGCAATGCTAATGCATTGGGTAAGTACGGAAAGTAATCTTCTGATGTCTGTTTGGGAGAGATGATTGCAGCCATTATCTGCCAAGCTGCTGAAATTCAGGAAATATTACCACCCCATTCTTATAAGACAGTACATGCTTTGGGCTACTGCTGTAGTTCTCATTTCTTCTCAGTGTATCTGTAGTCACAGGCATTCTAAAGTTTATACACCTGCAAATTCTTGTAACTAACAATAGCATTTCTGACTAATGACAATATGAGTCGCAGGAAATTATTTACTCAAGTAAGGCTCATGTAGTCAAAGCATTAGTGTTGTACTTAAAAACATATGGGTGCTGTTTTGGGAAAATGATTACACTTTCCAGTTGCCACAAATCAGGTTGTATAACTCTCAGAATTTTGTGGCTGATAGAGAAGGCTCTGAGCTCTTTGAAATATATTTGGATTTAAATTTGGAGCAATATTAGACCTATCTTTCTCTTTTTCTCAAAGCAGGTTTGGTTGACATGCAAACTAAATTTGGTCCAAACTCAAAACAAAAAAAACACACAAGTGTAGTCATTTTCTCAAAACAGCACCCATATGAACTAATTGGTTCTCTATTAGCATTGTGCTAATTGGTAGGTTAGGGCACTATGATGCTGCAGGTTGGGAAAATACTGGTCCGATCAGTATTTCTGAAACCTTCATTTTGACATCATTATTGCACTTGGGTTGTTGAGTGCCGGTGTCGGCCAGACATACCACTCAAAAACAAAAAAAAACAGCATTTTGTAACAAACCTTCATACACGGGGTCAAAATGAAGGTTTGAGGTGGCAACCAGAGGCGCCCTAAGGGTTCGTTCGGTTAACAGCTGAACGGACCGCTCAAGTAGGCGATTTATGATGTGCAGCCGTTCACTCTAGCACGGCCGTTCATGAAGTGGATTTAGCTTTCGGTTAATACCCTTCGTTCACCAAAAGAGGATGCGAACAGTCAAAAGTGAAAAGGACCTCCTGAGGTCCTTTTCACCAGCCGTTGGTGATTCTCAACCACCCCCGCTCAACTTTAACCATAAGGTTGACTAATTAATGGTCGGTTGAACGGTCTCCTTAACCGAACAGCTTTTCTGGGGGTGGACCAAATCACAAGCAACCGTTGACAGCTGTGAACGGTCATGTCTGGAATGCCAGGTGAACGGTCCATAGTTAACCGAACGGAGCCTAAGTTCCCCTCATTTTTCGGAAACCTTCATTTTGAGTTGATTAATGCAACTTGAGAATTGTGTCTTGGTGTCAACCAGAAATGCCACTCCAGAGCAACATAGGGTTTTGCTGCGGACCACTATAATCGTCCTCGAAACGAAGGTTTGGCGTGACCTGGCCTGTTTGCACCATGTGACATGCCACCTTCCTTCGTTTCTTCACCGGTGTTTCTCACCATCTATTCTTTTACCAGGCTTCTTCACCTCGCCCCCATCACCAGTCCTCCGGTCTTCTTTGCCACGCTGCCTTCAACGATGTTCTTCGATATTCTCCCCGATACCTTCTTCACCGCGGTTCAGGGCTCGTCTCTCCGATCATTTCTTCACCGCTGTTGGGCGCACATCTTTCCGATTTTCCAAGACCGCTACCACCGTTTTCTTGTCCACCATGACACGGTCCCTGACCGAGAAGATACACTTCCTGTAGAAAAGAAATAACCACGGAACAATCTCTGGAGACTAGCTCTGGGGTAAGCACCGGTGATTAACAATACTTTGTATGGAAAACAAGTATCTAGTGGGGAAAACCTTTGTTAAAATCCCCTTCGCCCGCATAACTCTTTGCGCTGAAGGTCCCCTCGCTGGAGTAGACAATTCCAGTAAGTTACCGCTGATCCCGCAAAGTGCACTGCACGGGTTCATTATACCGCCCCTAGCCACTCCCGCGACAGGAAGCCGCCAAACAGTTGAAAAATCACATCCTCACCCTTACAGAACCCGTTGCCCGAATCCCTTCCAACAAAATGCCGGTGTGATTCAATCACTCCTCACGAGTCCCAACTGTAAAAGCAGGGTAGCCAGACTGTATTGTAAATCACCGGTACCCAGAGTAATAGTCCTATCGTTATCTCCCCCACGATTGAGGGGTATTGGAGATATCTCCGGACCTAGAATTGTTTTCCTTTGTAATGCTTTTGAGTTGTTTATTTGTCAGTGATTAAGAAGGTTCTGGAACTTCTACAAAAGGCTTATGTACTAGGAAGCACGGTTGGAAGACAAGGAAACGTGTAGCATGTGGCGATTAGAAGACATAGGATCGGTTGACAGGAGCGGGGTAAAAAGAAGTTGGGAGAAGTCCAAGGAAATGTTAAGAAGAGGGGTAAAAGCGGGGTCACCTGGGTGATGCTCTGAGACTGGAAGAAATTCTTCATTGCTATCAGTGTATATAAGAGCATATGGTGACCGGAGAAGAAGAAAAAAGAGAAGGAAGACATAGTAAGAAAATCCAGAGTACGAAATATTGATACCGGCAATAAAAGAGAGACCTCCGGTACCCAGAATGAGAAACGATCAGGTACAAATAACAAAAGACTGAAGGTAATCCATTACCGGTATACCGGTGAGTGGTTTGGTGCTGGTCCTCATGCTGGTCGCTGGGGGGATCTGGGCAGCTCGTGGGATATAAATATCCAGAGTTTTGTTACCCATATCGCACTGACCCTGATGTATTGTGTCAGTATGCATGAAGATCCAAGTAGCCAGAGAGTCATTTAAGTTACAGCGAAGAGACCCGTAACAGCGGATCCGATAAGGCTCGATTGGGATCGTTGAAAAGCGAGTTTTGTTGCTCTCCGCACTGAATCAGTTGTCATCTTGGATAAAGGGCTGACAGGAACCCTCTTCATCTCCGAAAAACGAGGGCCCAAATCGATCATTGTCTCTGCGAAACCTCTCGGCATCAGGATGTGGACCTGGTTGATTGATTGGTGGGTTTTCGCATTATCGAAATGAAACTCTCATTACCTGTTAGCAGGTGGGGGGTGCCCGAACCTTGCATCAAGACGGCCGGTTTCTAGATGGTAAGGGCGTTGGTGGCATGGTGTGGTTGATTGGGTGAGGTTGCTGGAAGCTGTGTTGGTCCATAATGAGGACTCAAGATATCGTCCCACTTTACTGCAGGACAAAATGAAATCATCAGCTAGCCTAAGATACATGCTATGTTCCCATCTCGCCCTTACAAGTGATTACCTGTCGACTCGGGGTAGCAAAACAAACTCCCCAAATCTATCTTTCCATCAGTCCGAATCGCGGCCCCACTGGGGTCCTGGTTTCCAGATTGAGTATAGCTAGGAGTAGGCGAGTCTTCTAGATTTCATGAACTGCTACAGCCTCCGGTAGAAATAATCGGAAAACAAGGGGGTTTGACAGGGGTACAAGACATAGCGCGATCTGTAATTAAACTCTAAAAATACAGGATGATCACTACCGTGTATGGCCACTATTTGCACTGCTCACAGCCTGAATTCTGCTAGGAACACTGTCAACCAATCTCAAAATCACCTCCACTGTGATCTTGTTGCACTCATTAAGTAAGGCATCTTTGACTTGAGCTCATCCAGTAGGTCTTTGTTGATGATCTTTGACTTGGTGTTTTATAAGATTGCAAACATTATCGATCAGGTTGGAATCAGGAGATGCAGGGGCTATTGGAGAGAACAGATGTGGTAGTAGTCACGGTAGGATTAGGTGAGAAGAGAGCTGTGTGAGGATGCACCATCCTCTAGTACCTAAAGGGAAGAACCAACCTAGCAGCTTTCATCACACCAACATGATCAAATAGTAAGAGCTAAAATATAATTAATATATGTTTTAGCTGAAATCATGCCCAAATCATCACTTTCCCATATTACCATCACTTTCTTTCCTCCAT